GTCACCACTTCCCACTCTCGCGTCATCACCTCCTCACCCTGTACCTGTACGATCTGGTACACCTGCAGGGGGTGCGTCTCTCCCTTACATCGCACCCATTCTCCCACCTCCCTGCAGTCTTCTCTCAATATGTCCACCCATTGCGTGGGGATAGCCCTTCTGAGGGCTTCCAAATTCTGTTGTCTCCGGAATTTATGGTGGAGTCGAGTCGCCATATCGCCCGCGTCCCTCCAGTCCCTCTCCTCCTCATTCCACAGGTGCCCGATCTTGAACACCCCACATTCCGTCCATGGCTTCCCAAAAGCCCCTAGCTTCCCCTGCCATGGGAATGGGTCACCGTCCTCGTCGCATATACAGGGATTTTCAAAGAGGAGCTGGTTATACACATCGTCAGCGGTGACCGGGAGTTCCTGCTGCAGTTGGACTTTTTTCCATAGCCGTAGCACAGCGGACCAGACCTGGTCCCTCTTGACATGAGTGATAAGGCCTGGGCTAGCTAGCGCCACTAGGACCATCTGCTCCATCATACCGAGAGCCAGGGCCAGGTGTTGAGTCGTCAGACTCTCCCACGCTGCGCCCGCCGTCCCCAGCAGAACCCACAGCAGATTACGCAGCTGTAGCACCGTCATCTGCAATTCAGGGTCCAAAATCCCCAGCCCCCCCTGACTCCTAGGCTGGGTGAGCTTCGACCACGCCACCCTGGGGATTACCAATTTCGCTTCCACGTCGCCTGCCCACGAGTATCGATGCACTGTTGTCCGCAATTGTCTGAAGACCCGCCTCTTTGGCATATGGATGGCCCCAGCATACCACATTATAGATAGCACCGAGTTCTTGAGGACAACTGCCTTGCCAAAAACGCCCAAGTGCGTCCGCTTCGCCCAGCGCCCCAGCCTCAGGATTGCGGCCGCTGCCAATCCTTCCATCTGCTGCGCACCCCCCCCCACTGGGTGGATCATAGCACCCGAATAACACATGTTTTCACCATCCTCCAGGGTGGGAACATCCCACCCTTCGGGGGCTGTGCATCCCTGCGGGAGTATGACCTTTGACTTCCGCCAGTTCACCCTTGCCCTTGAGTACTGGGAGAACAGGTCCAGATCCATTTGGAGGCGCCCTAGTTGTTGCACAGTGGGAGGGATGACTGCACCGGTGTCGTCTGCAAAAGCTGTGGACTTGAGGACCACATCCTGTCTCAGCTGCAATCCCTGCACGGCCTCATCCCCTCTAAGGAGGTCATGTAGGGCCTCGACATAGATTACACACAGAGCAGGCGACAGCGGGCATCCCTGCCGAACTGATCTGGTGAGGTGCAGAAAACCGGAACGTACCCCATTCACCTGCATGCACGTGCAAGCAGCAGCCAGGAGCAGTCTAGTCTAATTACAGAACTTTTTCCCAATGCCCCTCCAGCGCAATCTTTGAAGGAGAAATTCCCACCGCACCCGGTCGTAGGCTTTTTCGAGATCAATTGTGACAAAGGCCAACCGCTGATCACTAATCTCCTGGTGTCTGAGGATCTGTCATGCCAGCATGATGTTCGAAACAATCTGTCGTCCCGGAACAAACCCCGCTTGGGCGGGGTTGATGATACGCGGCAGCACCTCATTAAGCCGGTTCGACAAGACCTTGGCCAGAATCTTATAGGGGGCATTTAAAATTGAAATCGGGCGCCAATTCCTGACATCCTCACGGGCCCCCTTCTTATAGATCAGCACTACGAAAGCATCGGCAAAGCCTTCCGGGAGGCGCCCCGCCTGCAGGGCGTCATTAAAGGCTCGGGTGAGAATTGAGCCGAAGAGAGAGTGTTGTGCCTTGTACATTTCGACTGGGATTCCATCCACACCAGGCGCCTTAAGCCTGGGCAGCTCTCCGATTGCCCGCAGAACCTCTTCCAGTGCGATGTCCCGCTCCAACGGCTGTGCCTGTGCCTCGGTTAGTCCCGGCGGGACGTGTCGCCAGATATGTTCCTGCGGGGCTGCCGCCATCTGCTCTGCAGTCCATCCCTCCTCCTCAGTGAATAGATCCGCGTAGAAGTCCGTGACGCAGCG